CTGATCAGTGTGCAGCTAACTCTGGAGATCACGCTCATCATTCTGGAGCCTCCTGAGCCCATCAAGTCGTACCCAAGCATACGTGAGGTCTACCTCATCTGTAACACCAGCAACGTAGGCATGGTGGCGCCACTGGGCTACAACGGCCTACTTATCATGAGCTGCACCTACTATGCCTTCAAGACGCGGAACGTCCCTGCTAATTTTAATGAGGCTAAATACATCGCCTTTACAATGTACACTACCTGCATCATCTGGTTGGCCTTTGTACCCATCTATTTTGGCTCCAACTACAAGATCATCACCACATCCTTCTCTGTCAGCCTGAGTGTCACAGTAGCACTGGGGTGCATGTTCACCCCCAAGATGTACATTATCATTGCCAAACCAGAGAGGAACGTCCGAAGCGCCTTCACCACCTCTGATGTGGTGCGAATGCACGTTGGAGATGGCAAGTCTGCTCAATGCGGAAGCAACAGCTTCCTCAACATGTTCCGACGGAAGAAGCAGGGATCTGGCAATGCAAAGTGAGTGACCTTTTATGTTGTTTATCTTGCTAGATTGTTGTTTCCTGCGGTATCAAAAAGATGAGATGCCTAAACACTCAAATGGTGCAGTGAGCTTTCCAAAGATGATCTATCAAATATTTGCAAGTAACATGCAGTCGCTTATTTTTTGATATCACAAGAATATTTGAATGTTTATGCATAATGTTAATAGTCTAATTTTTACTTCCCACTACCCCGGTCTATGTAAAACTAAACTGATACATTGATTTAGATACAGCTCTTTATACAGCACATCCCCCTCCCCCTGAGAATGATATATTATCAATGCAATTAAGCTAAATTTAGAAGAAAAGTCACAGCAGGACGTTCTGCTGTCATTCATTTAAAGCTAGTGGGCCGTGCTAACGTGTCAGTGATTATTAAAGTATAGTTTTCACACATTTCAACTAGATTTAAGACTTGCATATAACTTTTTTGAGATCCACAGCAGTGACACGTGGACAGGTGTCTAAAGTAAGGAGCGGGGCAGAGTATGAGAGTGATCCCAATATGTTTACGTGTTGTCTCTCACCCTTGCTATGCAGCCTTTCTAGTCTTCTAACCCTTGAACCTTTTAAACTGAGCAGCACACTGTCCGCAGAGTGTCAAGGCTGGCAAATGTTTTGGCACGGGAGGTCATTCAACTCCTTTCCTGGAGAGCTGCACTGTCACCTGGGACACAGATATTTTATAGTTATGTACAACCAGTGGAGAAATTTAGACACTCACCAGCCACATAATCATAAACTGATCATAGAGGATAGAACTCAGCTTGCCCAAAAGTTTTTAAGCTGAAATTTTCTCCACATTTTCACGCTATGCAGCACAACAAAGAGGTGGAAACCTGTTTAATGTATTTAGCCATTGCATTTAGTTATGCTTGATTTTGATGAGTGAAATAAAGGAAAGGGATGTTTTCCGTTTAACAAAGACTTCCAAGCTGGTTGAAGTATCTGGTGAATTAAATGTATGATTTGCCTCCTGTCACTCCTTTGCTGGCAATGGCAAAAAAAAAGTATTTTGACACTGCAGCCCTCCAAGAGGGAGATTTGCCACCCTACTGCTTTTGGTTTATCCTGAATTAACCTCACATTTAACTTTTCTCAGCATGAACGACCCTCCCCTCCCCACTTCCCTAACTAATCACATTAGAGCCAGTCCTAACTCATTCTGCGCTAAACTCTGTCGTCTTCAGACCAGTTCAGACACCTGCAGAAACACTTATTACGAATGCATGCGTCCCATTTGAACCATATAAGCAAATAGTCAGACAGGAGGAAATGAGCTGGATGGCTCCTAATCCTGTGAGCTAAATGTCTGAAGCAATTTGAAGATCATAATGCTGTCTGCAGCACATTATGAATCACTTGTTTGTGAAGTGTCACAGTTGATAAATGTAATGCTCCTGAGAGCTCACGAGTGAACACCTTAGCAAAGCTGTTAATGTCATGTGGTTAAGAAGTATTTTAACATGAATCAGAAATGTTGAAATGCTGCTGCTCTTTTGTGTTCTGTTGCTGCTGTGTTGATGTTGTTTTTCTGTCTCCACCTCCTGGTTTCCTGTGATAGTAACTTGGGTCTTTATCTCGTTCATAGTTCTAATGGCAAGTCTGTGTCATGGTCTGAATCAGGTGCAAGACACCCTCCGAGGGGGGGGAATGTGTGGCACAGACTGTCTGTGCATGTGAGGAAACAGGAAGCCGGCTTGAATCAGATGGCGGTCATCAGGCCCCTAACTAACACCCCCGACCCCCACAGTTGTGAGCCCTCCACCCGCGACCTTGGCACAGACCCGCATCTCCCCCAAGAACCACCTGGCGCTAAGCCTCTGTACAACCTGGTGGAGGAGGACGACGAGGGCGACGTGCAGCGCCCCCTCTGGACTCCGTCTTGCTCTGGACAGATGCAAGGGCTGGAGTCCAATTTAGATAAGCCGGCTTCTTATTTGCCCTCTCATTTGATGGGCCGCACTACAGAGCGCTTGCAGGGGGCTGTGGTGGACACACACAGCTCCCATGTCCCTGCACTGAATGACCACACCGCCAGGGAGGCAGTCCCTGCCAACGAGCCTTTGAGCTTGACACCTTCTCAGCTCCCTCTGGCCCCACAAGTGGGGGAGTTTGAAGCGGAGGGGCCTGAGGACGAGGAACTGGACCTCTTACACAGCTACATTTACCATGCCAAGGAGGAGGGGGAGGGGGAGGACGGGGAAGGAGAGGGTTTAACTCAGAACAAGCCAACTCTGGAGGATTCCCTAGCGCTATCTCCTCCCTCCCCCTTCAGAGACTCTGTGTGTTCGGGGGAGTCTGTCAGCGGCTCCCCCGTCATTGAGTCGATGCTCGGTAGCCCTCCGAGCTCAGTCTACACCTCAAACATGCTCCGAGACTTCGCACACAGCTCCTCAACACTGTGAGAGCAAAACAGGCGCTGACACAGTGGCTGTCAGCACAATTATACATCACACAGACATGCATTTCCATATACAGGTACACGGACACACACATGCAAACCTATACAGATACATACAACATTATTTACCTTTCAAAAACATTTATTTTTTGCTCTGTCATTCGCTTGCTTGTATTTATTACTCTGCTTTTTATCAGTAAGAGGTTAATCCAAACTATAAGTAAAGAAACACCAGGAATCATCCATGAGTGCTTACGTTTCTGAAAGGCTGTCAGTGCACAAAGCCTTTCTGTAAAATGTAAAAACTGAGAACAGTGCCAAATCTAATCAGCTCTCGTGCCAAATTCTGATGAATTAAGCAACACTGAGAATCATAATAAAGGATGTAGCTGTGGTTTTCATAGTGGCACTACAATGAAATGGTCTACAAGAAAAAAATTTAAAGAAAAGCCCAGTTATGTGAACATTGTAAGACACAACCAGAGACCAAACTGCAGTCCTTAGATAAGCTCTGCTTCTTTCTGCTGCACATGTGCAGGTCTGTTCCTGTGTGTAGCGGTCGCAGCTGCATCAAAACAAACAAAACAACAATTTGCTGTCCGCCCTTTTTTTCATGTATTAATTTCACCTCAGCTTTCTCTCATCAGACCTCGCTGCAATTTAAATATTACAAAGAGCTAGATTAACAAGAAAAGTGCAGTAACTTGGTTGAATATTACTTTAACTGTATGTGTTGCAAGGTGTGCTCAGCATCACAAAAATATTATTGCTGGACTGAGATTCCGCTGAAGACTCGCGCTGTACGATACGTGATATGGATATAATGTGCCAATCCAAAATGTTATCAACCTACATCCCTGCTTTCAATTCTTACGATGTAGCTGATACAGGTTAGCGTGATTGTAGATGATGGCGATGTTGTTTATTCAGTTTACACTCAATCATAACCCTGAGAACAAGTTTTATGAGCATGGGATGTGATAAAAGTGAGTTTGCTGTGTCATTGTAATGGAAAACACAGTACTTGTACAAGTTCTCAAAGTTTGTAATACTGTTAAGCCATCTCTTGTTTTTCACACAGGTGGTATGTTTGTAATACTGATAAATGTTTCTATATTTAGAATGTCAACTTGAAAAAAAAAGAAGAGTTTATACATTTTGAAACTGTCCTCAGATACTCGTCAAGGAGCAGTGTGTTTGGTTTTTGGGTAACTTTTGAGCTAACTTGAGTCGACTGTATCCTCTTGAAAATATTCAGTTGTAAAAGTAACCAATGATTAGTTGCTTCTTGTAATGACATTATACATGTTTCAATTTTGCTTCAATCTTGCATTATAAACTTAAGTAGTTTACTTGAGGTTAAGTTTCTTAGTTCTTTATCTATAAGAATGCAAATAATTTCAGAGTACAAGACTATACAGTGCATAGTGCAATTGTATTGTATTTCCAAATGTTTTTAGTCTATTATAGTGTAAGTTGTTAACTGATTTTAACCAATGTAAAATATATACAAGGGTGCCACCTGTTTAACACTGTCAAATCTAGAATGAAAATAGGCCTTTATGTTTTGGGCAAGCTGAACAATGCTGTAAAATAAAAAAACTATTTATATTAAGAAGACTGATTACTGCCTGCAATAGTCTGAAAACTGCTCATGTCATTGGGCTGGAGAGACAAAGTCCTTAGACTTGTCAATCACTATCAGTGTTCTCCAGAAATAGAGTCTGGAGACCATCTGGGGTTCTTGAGAAGTTTTCAAGGCAACTGTAGCAAAAAAATCACTTTTCCCCACATGTTGGATTCTTGTTTCTTTTATCTGAGGTAAATAAATCCCAGTCTCTTTGTTTGATTGGTTGATGGTCATGACATTTAATATGAAGAAGTTTTGGAGTTTGAATGTTTTTTTGGGTTTTTTTTTTTTTTTTTTTTGGGGGGGGGGGTTACTGTAACCGCAAAAGGAGGAGGAAGTTAGAACAACATTGAAATTCCCTGACATTTCCGGGTCCTATGACATATCAGGTGGTTACAGAGCGGCAGCAGGAGGAGGAGGAGGGTGGAGGAGGAGGAGACGGAGAGTTAGAAAAGGGGGAGACAAATGTAATTTCTGTTGCATCTGGCCCTCAGCTCTCTGACCAGCCCAGTCCAGAGCAGCTCCTCACAGGGAAAGCCTTTATGAGCGAGCAAGCAGAAGTGATCTGAGTTTTTGAGCTAAGTCGTCAGTGTCAGTGTCAGCATGGCCGGGGGCTCGGTGTCTGAGTGTAAGGAGTACTTGTTCAAAGTGCTGGTGATCGGGGAATTAGGCGTCGGGAAAACCAGCATCATCAAACGCTACGTGCACCAGCTTTTCTCGCAGCACTACAGGGCGACGATCGGGGTCGACTTTGCACTGAAAGTAATCAACTGGGACAGCAAAACGCTGGTCAGGTTACAGCTGTGGGACATCGCAGGTAAGCAGACAAAACACAGTCAGAGGCTTTTGGAGTGTAGTTTTGATGTCAAGCTCAAGTTTCGCTGCGTGACACATGGAGGGGGAAGTTTCACTCTCAACTCAACGTGGCCCGCTCAAGAGTTCCCGACTTACTTCACAATATGTAGTAGACAATGTATATGACATTGCACATTTTTCTCACGGCCACGGTTTTAACGTTGAACCAGAAAAAGCTGTCAAGAATGTAAAACTTTAAATTCCCAGGCGGCCCTGAAGTGAAAGAAGCAGGATAGGAATGTCCAGCAGAAAAAACAACAACAACAAAAAAAAAACCGGCTGATCATGTCTGCTCGTTGTATTTTCCACTTAATGATCATGGCATCTCATAATTGTCCGAGGAATGTAGGTCACGTTGTTATTACAGTCTGAGCACACACCCCCCTCCTCTCCCCCACCGCTAACAATGAAACTCACCATAATATTCTTGTAATATTTTCTCTGGGGATTAAATATGTGTTTATGGGGCTTAATAAGAGACTTTACAGGCCCTTATCTTTATTTCAGGCTATTATTCATGTTGCAATGTCACTGTAGTAGTCTTCAAATGTCCCTGTGTGTGTGTGTGTGTGTGTGTGTGTGTGTGTGTGTGTGTGTGTGTGTGTGGTGTGTGTGTGGTGTGTGTGTGTGCGCGCGCGCGCGTCGCGTGCGTAACAGTCCCCTGTTATCCCCGTGTTTCTGAAAGGATTTCACTAAACTTGTGTAACTTTTCTTCCGAGCTGCCAACCTTGGCACACACTACAACCTGTGCATTCCAGCAGCTTTTGTTAGCAAGCGCAGAGAGAAATCAGAGCAGAGTAAATAAAAGTTTTCCGCATGCAGGCGGCCTCAGTCAAGCTCTCACTGTTTGTCAACTGCAGGCATGATAATATCACACTGCAAACGAGGGAGTGTGAGAGTGACATGCTTGAAAGGACAGGTGAAAGGGGAAGTGAGCAAGGGTGAGAACCAACCGGCAAAATGACTTAACTTTTAAAATCACAAGTGTCGACCAGGCCGATGCAGATGCAGGCGCATTACAGTTCAGTCAGCAGGAATGAGGGTGTAATGAGGGATGTTGGGTGGGTGAGGGGTGTCTTTGATGTCCCATTAGCCTCTGTCTTTTCATGTTTTATCTGGAGCGTCTTTATAGCCAAAAATGCATCTGACGTTAGGGCTTGTAAAAATTGGTTGGTCAAATATACTGGAACTCATAAGGCTAATTTACAGTGGATATTTTTGTGTTAGGTGTAATGAGATCACATGGTTTAAGGTGTGTGTGTGTGTGTGTGTGTGTGTGTGTGTGTGTGTGTGTGTGTGTGTGTGTGTGTGGTCTTCCGTCATGCAAATGCCAACTCCCTTTTGCTCTTGCTGGCAAAAGTTTGAAGGATTGTGTCTGCCTTTAGGTGAAAGTTAGGACCTTATTTAGTTTTAGTTATAACTGGATTTATAAATAGCAAAGGAATTATTTAAATTGTGGCAGTTTACAAATGCAATTTGTGTCGACTTGCTTTTTCTGTCATGGGATAGACCCCCACTAAACAGTCTTGATCTCACGCATGCAGTGGGACAGTAAGGGTGGTTATTCATTCCCTGAGATGCCGGTATTTAAAGTAATGAGTACCTAAAGGATTATCTCCTGTATGTGTGAAGAATATGTTTACATTGTTGTTCAACATGTACACAGAATATATAGTTTTTGTGTTATTGATAAATCTCTATTTTATTTCATTATTAATTGTTAGGTCTGTAAAATGTCAGGAAAAAAGTGAGAAATGTTCATGACAATATCCCAAAAGAGAAGTTCACATATTTAAATATCTTGCTTTGTCTGACCAGCTGCCCAACACCAAAAGATAGTCAGTTTGCTGCCATAAATAACTAAAACAACAAGGAAATATTCAGATCTGAGAACCTGGAACTGGAGAAAATTTTGATTTTATCTTAAAAAACTTCCTTAAATGAGTAATCTGTTATCAAAATTTGCTCTCTATGAAGTAATCCACCAATCGTTTCAGCTCTAAAAGAATGTGACAGTTGGTCTTTCTAACAATCATCTAACGGTAATGCAGGGAGGTTACATGTACGTTAGAACTTAAAACACATAAGTTACACTGTACTTCACTTGCTAAAAACCCACCTCTCATTTTGTTTGGTGACATACAGATTTGTGTAATTCGTCGTGTAGAGATGGGATGGTAAATCGTCAGCTGTCATCAAGATTGGACTTTGTGTTCACAAGTAATGGCTCATTTTCCCATAAATGTACTACACCCTTGTGCTGCTTGACCAATGGCAACAAAAAAAAAAAGAAAAAGAAAAACAAGTAGTTTTAACATGATCCCAAGTCATGGGTTTCTGAAGATTATGCACATGTCGCAGTTGGAGACCGCAGCGAACTACATTATGCAGGAGAAGTCTGCAAAATCAAGCTTTTCCAGGTTAGTAATAGTGGTGTCAAATGACAACGTGCAACTGATTTAGTATGCACCACAGAGGACAGGGATGTTTCAAGTACATCCTGTTCAAACGATCCTGGCTGAAAGTAGTAGTTGTAGCTTATCATCAAGCCCACTACACTTTATTGCCAGAGTAGAGAGATTTTTAATCTATTTTGAAAGTCCGCTGCTGCGGGTCACATCCACTGCATGAAGAAGCTGAGATTAAATGGGAGGTTTACATATTTTCAAATCTGTCTTAAAACAAAACTCACATGCCCACATTGAGCCACTGTCATTTTTCTTCCTTGAGCCTGATATTAGCTTCATGTTTGTACAGAATGAGGAATGTAGATTTTGTCCTTGTCTCTTTATATTGGAATCGTGTTAGGATGGGATCTGTACACGGCCCGTATGGACGGGGGAGATCAAGTGTAGCAGCAGTAGCGCTGTCAGTGGGCATGTGGGTGTTGTTTTAAGACGGAGTTGAAAAATGTGAACCTGTCTTTTTGAATGATGTTTCTTTCCTGTTGAAATAAGAAATGATTAGCTCTGCCTCTAGATATGTTCTATTCTTACTTTTGAACATGGTTGTGCAGGTCAGGTCCATCCTCTCCCTCCATCAAACGGAGCTCATATGCTGAGACAGATCAGGACAGATGGTTAGGAGACTGCTGTTTTTATATTTATTCCATCGCTTACAGTGGTGACAGAAAGGGGGTGGACAGTTTTGTGTGTGTGTGTGTGTTTTGGGGGCTGGGGGGTCGCCACAACAACTTGCATGTCTGTCACAGACTGATTGGCAGTGAGGGCTGCGTGCCCCCCCCCCCCACCCCCCCTGCCATCACTTGGGCCCTGGCAGCACGAGCTCAGCGAGCAGGGGCATCTGTGACTGAGTGCCAGGGACGGCCGTCTGCCTGTCACAGCCAGACAGCACTCGATCAGAGGATCTGCGAGGGTAAATAAAACACTTTCACACATACACACGTAGATAAACCGATATCATTCACAGAGACGAGGGAACGCGCTTGCACATGCCGCTTACATGCACACGCCCTGACCAGAGAGAAGAAAGTTTGAGGTGAGATGACACGGATACTAAACCTCATTATTGACACCTACACCAAGGCCTGGCCTGAGGACACTCCGAGGATAGAATAAGTAATGAAACGTGTGTGGGTGTGAAGGAGTGAAAGCTGGAGGTATATTTGCCAAGTCATTAAGACCAGCCATTAAGCCATTTAATCGTGCAGGAAAGGAGGAGGAATTATCTTCTAGGCAACACTGAGAGCAACTTCAGAGTTGTTGTCTTTTACCAACCTTAATAATGATTACAGTCTGGGAGGAATGATAGTAATCAGAAGCCTGTACAAGATGTGGTGGGGGGTGGGGGTGGGGGCACCATGGAAGTCAATGTGATGCTTGTGGCTTTCCAACCCCCTTTCACCCAGAATTGCTATTCTCTCCTGGACTCGTCTAAGCCAGTGGACAGGATGATTACCACCGTGGCATAGAGTAGAAAAGCCAGCACCTTGTAGGACCAAACATTCCTGTAGAAGCAGAAGGTTGCATATTTAATTGGATGTGTGCAGTGGTTCCCATCACAGTGATGAGCGTCAGTCCTGAAAAACCTAATTTTACCCTGAACTCTGATAAACTCCTCTCTCTCTTTCACTGATGTTTCTGCCAAGTAAATCTGAAGGGTCACAAGATGATTAAAGGGACAATAATAAAAACGCCAAATTGGATTTATTTGTTCAGTTTTTTGTCAAATCTTTGCTTTTCTTGTAAATATTGGATACTTGTACCTTCAAAAAAAAACAAAAACTGTTAGAAATTGATTTAATCAACAAATCAGTGCTAATGTGAATCAGTGAATCTTCTGATTATTTTCTTGACTGATTGTTGAATTGTTGGATCTATAAAATGTTAGAAAACGTGACAAAGAATATCTTCAAATGTGCTTGTTTTGTCTGACTGACAGTCTAAAGATATAGATATTAAAGATATTAATTTTACTATCACATAAGACAAAGACGAGCATGTTTGACTTTTTTTTTCTTTCGCCTGAACAATTACTGAAACAATTAATTATCAAAACAGTTGCTGATAAGTTCTCTGTTGCTCAACTAATTGATTAATCAACGAATTGTTTCAGCTCCAGTTGGGAACCACAGAGAGAAACATAATCGCTGCAAGGCAATTTAGCTCCATTTGACACTTAGAGCCGTGCATACTAAATGTGACATTGAGACCGTTTCAAGCACGATGTGTGACGAACATATGGCACCACTGTCGATGGAGCAAAGAACTAAAACTGCAACAGAACTATAAATAGCAGAAAAGACGATGTTTTTGTTCTTTTAGTGAGGTGTTGGGCTGCTACACGAGCCACCAGAACAGCTTCCTTGCTCCAGTTAGTGTTCGGAAGCATCTTCTTTTACGCTCCCTGCTTTTCAAGGAACAGTATGGGCGGTAGTTTTTCTCTGTCACTGTACTTTACTTTGACAGCAGCCCAGTTGTAAGTTGATTATTTTCGTTGAAG